AAGTGCTCGCTGCAGCCTTTGGCATGGCAAGTGACTTTGGCATCCCAACACCAAAAAGATATTGGCGTCCGTGCCACTATTGCTGCTCTGTCTGATGCTCTCTGCCTCATGGGACCTAATTATGCTCATTTTCATTTTGGCTGAAGCTCAGGAGTGGATGGAGGTTAGAGATGTGCAGAATGTAGATACAGCTCAGAAGGGGTTTTGTTTGTGCCTATATTTAGGCTGCCAGTTCTGGCCATGGACCATGAAGCTGTGATGCATTGCATACAGTTAATGTGAGGCACACTGATACACGGCCTAAATGCATGCCTGCCTAGACACGGGTAGTTCGGGAAAGTAAAGTCTTATGTGCATTAGCTTCGATAATATGCCAGCAGCACTTTGGATCAGAAATACTTAATATGGAAGAAATCTCCTTTGAGAATGTGTAATTGCTTTTTTTTGCTGGTCACAGTCAGATGTTTTAGAACACTTTTGGAATAAGAATAGGAGTAGTTCACAGCAAAATGAAAGTTTTTGACTCACCTTTATGTCATTCTAAATCTTTATAACTTTGTTTTTTTTCTTCCACGGAAAACAAAATAAAAAAGTTTTACACAGTTATACAAAAAAACAGGGAAGCATTCTAAAAGGATACCATAAAAGTAGTCCATATAATGTTGTGTGAGGAATAAACTGGAATTTAATTAATATGGGTTTGGAATGATTTAACAGTGAGTAAAGAATAAACAGAATTAACTTTTTGGGTGAATTATCTGTTTAAAGGAAAATTTGCTGAGAATTTACTTACCCTCACTCTGAGGGTGAGTATATTTTCGGAAAAATGTTCATTTTCGGGTAAACTATTCCTTTAATGATGGAGCGTTTATCATGGAGTTAAGGGTCAGTCAGATCTTAGGGGCCAATAGTGGCAGATGTACAATCCCATTTATGTTTTCTTTAAACTGACCATGTCTTTTAAGGAGAGAGCTCAGATTTCTTCTTGTGTAAAAATCTGTTCTAAATAAATGACATAAACACATTTTTTTTTCTCTGAAAAAAATGACAATATATGAAGATGTCAAGAAAGTCGAAAGGCATTGCTGATAGGTGTAGTGAATAGGGAGACATTTGCATGTTTTGAAAGGTCACTGCTTTATGGAGACAGTTTAATTGCCCTGTGTATGTACTAGAGGTGAGACATTATCACGATTTTACCTCTATTGAACACCTCTTCCTGAGGAAGCCAGACCAATTGATCAGAAAGCTCAATATTTCAATACTTTTAGAAGTCTAAAGTGAGCAAAGCAGTCAATACACATTTCACTCATTTCCAGTTTTCAAGTCCCAGCTACTGATGCAGTGTATCATCAAGTCCTCGCTGTCTCACGATGTATCTGCCTAACCAGTGTTTTGGAAGCTCCTTTCAAACAGATTATTTTTGTTATAACCAAAAATATACTACACTTAAAAGTATAATTTAATCAGAGCTTTATTTTTTTCATCCCAATTAGGTTGACAGTATCAAATTTGAACAGGTATATTTATACTAAATACAACAAAACACCCTCATTTACATTATAGAATCAAAAATGTATAGGCCTATATAATATTGAGTCATTTCAGTGAGTCATTTTTGTGAAACTGTTTATTTACATCCAAATGAACCAATTCACTAGAATGAATCGGGCTTTCCAAAACTACGTATCAGAGAATACTCGAGTATTTACTTTGTATTCAGTTCATCCATTTTCTTCAGTTTGATGCATTGTGGCCCATTTGTGCAGCTGTTATGAACATCCCGCCAGTCACAGCGATATGTACAGAAGAATAATTGGATAAAACATTTATTTATTTATCTTTTGCCATTTCAACTATAAATCTGACATACAGAGTATTTAAAGGGATAGTTCACCCTAAAATGAAAATTACCCCATGATTTACTCACCCTCAAGCCATCCAATATGACTTTTTTCAATACAATTGCAGTTATATTAAAAAATGTCCTGGCTCCAGTGAGAATATGCTAGTCTCACGAGAACCATGTTTTGCTTACAGCAAAGGAAAACCAGTCTCCATTTGGCTTATATCGAAATTCTCAGACAGTTTTCTTTACAAATCTTCATTTTGTACTTCTAATTCATGACCAGTGTTTTGTTTTGCTCTGACTTCTGCTCTTCCACATTCGTCACACGTTATGCCTACGTCATCTGCTGGAACGCAACTCTCTCGTGAACGCGCGTATGACAGAGCATATGACAGAAAGTCTCATGTCAACACATTCTTGGATTGTTGTAATTTTTGTAATGTGCTCCTTTTTGATAACTCAAATAATGTGACATGTTCAGGAGAGTTGTGACTTTGTTCTGTTGACCATCTTGAACACTATACAGTAGCAAACACCTAGTATTCAGAACACCCTGGCAACATGCAAACAACCAGTCAGAGAGCCTTAGAAAAACACATAGCAGTGGCCTGGCAACCCTCTATAAAACCCTAGCACTGGGGCGGACAAACTCTACTCACATTTTCTTCAGAAAATGTAAATGCAACTGCTTGTAACTACAGATGTTCTTCATTTAGAAAAAAATATCCTGCATACTCTAACTGCCATGCAACAAATGCTAATAAACCCTCAGAAGTGCTGTCTCACATAAAGCCACATATATTTCCAGAGTTTAAAATGCAAATCAGTAACCAGGCACCTACAAATGATTCATAGGTTGTTAGCGGTAAAGGTGAGGCATGTTGTTTTTATACACCAGAAATGTAAATCCTGGATTGAAAATCTGAAATCAGCAACAGATGGAGGCCAGCTGTAATTTCATAGACTAGATCCATTATTAATTAGGCATGTTGTACACCTGTCTCTGAATAATTACATTTATTCAGATGTTATGTGGAAGTAGAAGGAAGGCCAGTAAAGAATCTGTGAAGAGTAAAACATTATGTTTAACTCAAGCAGTCATGGTGAAATATATTGTACCTTTCTACAGATATGGTTGCTGTAATTGCTATTATAATATTTGAAATAATTCCATTGGTTAAATTCATAATTGTGCTCTTCAGCATTCTTTATTCTTGGAATAGAAGTAAATGATAATAGAAAAACTGTTTCTGGCTTTTTAGGGTTCTTTACTCAAAGCCTGACTCTGAGATGAAAAGGAAGTTGACAATCAATGCCTGAAGAGCACACCTGAGACAATCTATTTTATTAAATGTTCTTCCATTGCTCTCTATGTACTTGTGCTGTAGATCATTTAAACAAAGTCATTAATCATGCCCAGGCATGGATTTTGGGAACAATGGAGAGACTAGAGAGAAGATTATGGAGAAAACAGCCATGAACTTGTGCACAGCCTGAGAGAGGCTTTTCATCAGATGCTAAAATGAAACATGTTCAGAGCCTTTGACTGATTTGAATAATTCACATGGTTTAGGATGTGCACATATATAAACATGGTTGATCCAATGCATCTGGATCACAACAATGCTATCCAGACAGTATATATATTTAATTTTTTGTTATTTATTTATTTATTATTTATTTATTTTTTAACAAGTCAGTCTTGCTGATTACTATTATGTTAATCACTAAACTAAACAGGATAAATTTGTTTAGCAATAAAATTTAATTGGGGACACTGTTAGTGTCAGACTCTGGGCCAGGGTTTGTGTGTGTTTTGCTCCCCATGTGACTCCAATGCCCTTATAGGGTCCTTCCTGTTCCTGTCCTCGTTTGTGTGTATTCGTCTCCAGCTGTGTTTATTAATTTGTTCCCAGGTGTTCTCCATTGGTCCTGTGTATTTAAAGTGTGTTCCAGTTCTTGGTCTTGGTCAGCCGTTGAACGTTATCCTGATGTGTCGAGTCCTGTGATCCCCAGCCTTTGTTTAATAAACCCTTTTGATTTACCTTATTCTGTGTCTCCTTGCTCCTTCGTTCCTGTGTTCCTCATGTGTGAAATGTGACAGTTAGCAATATTGTGAATTATTAATATTATTTATAATTTACCCATATTGTAAATACATACATATAAAAAATAATTGTTAAAGTATTGTTATAGATTTATCTGTATCTAGTAAGCAAAGTCTGATTAATGAACAAAACATTCTGTGTAACTGCTTTGCATTTTATGTAAATCCCTCAACTAAAAGGGATACGTTTGTTTAGCAATAAAAATGAGGTGGGGACACTATTGTTTGCAATACTGGCAAATATTATTTTTCATAATTTAACAATTTTTTATATGAATGAATACTATTTCAAAGTATTGTTATAAATTATTTTGATTAATAAACCAACTATTCTTTATTTGTTGTAATGAGTCGGTCAACCGATTTGTATATTATTTGTAAATCACTCAACTAAAAGAGATCAATTTGTTTAGTAAGAAAAAAAAAGAGATGGAGACTGTTAGCAATGTTGGGAAAAATTTATATTTTATTTTTAGAATTACATTTGATATATTTAAGAATTTATTACTTTTATAATAAACTAATGTATAAATAAATCAATTAGGGCTGTCAAATTGATCATGATTAATTGCATCCAAAATACAATTTTGTGTTTACATAATATATGTGTGTGTGCTGTTTTAAGAAATATTTACATGTATGTATGTATGTATATATATATATATATATATATATATATAATTTATTTATATATGATTTATATTACATATTACATATATTTCTTACATAAATATTTATTATATATATTTACTGTACATATAAATATACACAGTACACACACTTATATTATGTAAACACAAACTTTTATTTTGGATGCAATTAATCACAATTAATTGACTTTACAGCCCATAAATAAATAAATAAATAAATAAATAAATAAATAAATAAATTAGTAGTGTTATAGATTTATTTGCATCCAGCATGTAATGTCTGATTTGCATATTATATATACATAAAATAACTTAAAATAATTGTTAAACTGTATACATACATACATATATATATGAAATATATTACATTAATGTAAACTGAACTTCCCACATGATGACCAATGTAAAATCTGGCTCCCGAAGCAAAACCAGTGATCCTCGACTGGTTTTAGACATGGTTCAGCTCAGTCAATGCTCTTTTGGGGAAATTAGTGACCTGAGGATGCTGTATAAAACCAATGGGCAGTAAAGTAGCAAGGCCTCTGCTGTATTACATTAACGGCAGTGCGACTCATTTGTAAAGTGTCACTCTCTCCCCTGCTGTAAACAGAAACATTAAATCTACCTGATGTACTGTGCTAGACTGTGCTTCTAGGGGCTGGTGGCATTGTCAGGGTGTGTGTGGATCATCAAGCATGTTTGCTTCTGTGTGTGGTTGTGTTCTGTCAGCGGCACATGTGTGATTTCTCCTGCTTGGAACACTTCTGTCCAGATTGTGTTTGTTTTAGCTGGCAGATAAGAAGCCTGTGGAATAGGAAATAAAGGCAGTGCCGCATGCCCTGGCAATAGCTGAATTTAAATGGAAGCATGTTTTCTAACAGCAGATTCTGACACTGATAATGGTGTTTCAGTGCCACGGTAAGGGAGAGCGGGAATAATTGTCAATTTTAGTTATTTATTTATTTTCACTTGAATATTTAGATTTATTCACAAAAGGTTTAGTCTAAATGTGATTGAACCTGAT